AGTGTCCAGTGCTTCATTTGAAGAGGGACTGGAGCAAATTAATCAATGGATTTACTGCCTTTTTTCAAGGCTATAAAATTTAACGGCAATCATGCTATTTTAGCATAGGGTGCAGCAGTCTACAACTCTTTCTAAGTGTACTTGAAATTTCTTACAGGAAACAAAGGCATTTATATTTGTAAATTCCATAAATTTGCCAAATAGCACACTTTTATATGCTAACTATAAATTTAAAATTATGTGTTTTATGTTAAATCAGTAAAAGGTTTGACAGAAATCTGGCTCCCACACAGACGCCGACAGTGTCCTGCTGGGAGCTGTATTTGCCTCCATGAAAGGAGGGAGGAGTTTGGCTGCACTACAGCTGGGTCCTTTAGGGGGCAGGGCCAGCGCCATTTTAATGGCTGGCCCCACTTTGGCAAAGGCAAATGCAGGTGGCAGAGGCTCGCAGGCGGTGCAGCCTGTTTAGGAGCAGTGGAGGTGTATTCCGGGTGGTTGCAGAAGTGGCAGATGAAAGAAGAGTTCGACAGTGGTGGTGGTGGCAGAATTTGGCAGCTCAGCCTGCATTCAGCGGCGGTGTTGTGGTGGCAGGCTTCGGCAGCAGGATTTGTCAGCCGTGGTGTGCTTTGTTGGCAGTGGAAGCTACAGGCTATTTACAGCAATCGTGGTGGGGGTGGCGATCTGATGGTGTCGAGGCAGCCCAGAGCGGCTGGAAGGGGTCTCTCAGGGACTTAATAAAGAAGGGGGTGTAGAAGTCGTTTTGCTGCTGCGGGTATAAAGCCAACCCACCTCCTTTTTTCCACCAACCCCTTTGGATGGTCATTTGGCTGTTTTTTGCCACTTCTGTGGAGCCTATAGCTGGATAAGTTATATAATAAGTGGTGGCAGGGTTACGCTGCTTTAGTCCTGTATATTCCCGCCATTTGCTCCTCCCTCCCCTCAGTCACATAGACATTCCTCCTGCGGGCTAGTTTGAAGCATACGGAGGAGGCAGCCATTTTAGCGCAGTCGACTTTGGCAGCCATTTTGGAATAGTCCCTTTGGCAACCATTTTGTAGAGGTGGCCATCTTGGGAAGGTCTTTAGTGGCCATTTTAGGATTAGTGGTGGCCATTTAGGAAGGTCCTAGTGGCGGCCATTTTAAGGCTTCATTGATCGGCAGCCATTTTGGGGGTTTCCAAGGGTAGCTCCTCTGACCTGGTATGGTGTCCAAGAAAGGACAGGGCCGGTCTAAAGGGAAGGAACCTGCACCAAAGGTACTCAAAAAAGTGGTTCTGCCCCCTCCTGTAGCCCCTTCATCTTCTGAAGATGAGGATGAAGTGCGAGAGCAACAGATAATATTAGATAAGTTGGCAGCTCTGGAGCAAGCCAAAGGAGCTGCAGCAGCAGCCCCTACTGAGACTGGAGTTAAGCCTAGACAGCATAAGGAGAGTTGTGCTGAATGGAAAAAGTTCCGGGACGAGGTGCTTAAACATTAATCTTCCATTGCATCTAGACCCAGGGAAGGTAAAAACATTGATGGTGCTGATCCGGTGCCGTCTGGCGCATCTGGTTCGGATGTTGGGGATTCTGCAGTGATCATGGTGGCGGAAGCAGAGCAACCTGGTGCCAGAGGTAAGGATGACATGGATGTACAGCAGAACATATTTTGGCCATGGGGACGTTGGGAACCTGCAGCAGATACAACACACAATCCCTCATTCCTGGGCATGGGGCCCGCCCCCTATGTGCATGCAGGCCCCTTGGTGTACCTTTTTGCCTCTGGTAGTAGGCATGCCGGCTAGTCCCTGGGAGGCTTGGGGTTTCTCCCCTCCTTGGACTAATCTTTAGGCTGCAGCATCCACAAAGACTATGCCCTTTGGAGATGTGGCTCTGCCACTGGGTGACCATCTTTTACCTGTAACTAGGGAAAAGATTTGTAAAGGGGAGTTTGTGGATGTATTCAGACTTTTTTATCGAGAAATGGAAAAGATGGATAAAGAGGAGCTGGATGATAAGGACAAGAAGATATTGTAGATCGGACCTGGGCCAATTGGTTGCCTGGTTTTGTCATTTATGCCAGAGTGATCTCACGGGTGCAACAATGGAAGGTTGCAGAGCTGTTCCAATATCTGGATATCATATATAAGGCCTACACTGGCTTTCCTGGCCCAGCCTGGCTCCAATATGATGAAGAATTTTGTATGCGAGCCGCTATGAATCTGGCACTCCCATGGGATCAGATACACCCCCACCTCTGGTTGCAGGTCATGTCCTAGGCAAGGCCCAATGTGGGTGATCGATCGCATAATGGGCATATGGTGCACCACCTGCCAGGGGTCATTTCGTAGAAAAAGAGCTAGGGGAAGGGATACTAATACCCTAACACTAATACTATGGGTGATGGGTAAAGGAGCTCTAATACAAATATCCAGAGGTCATTTCGGGGGGGAATGCGGGGAACGCAGTTCCCCCGAGTGATGTGCAGGGGGGCGGGGCACATGACGAAGCCCCGCCCCCTGCTTCCGGCCACCCCGCTTCCAGCCCTCATTCAGCCAGGAGGAGGCAGGAGAAGAGGGAGGGTAAGTTGCTTCCTCCCCACCTCTCCCCACCCCTGCCTGCCTGGGGCCAGGGAGGGCCTTGGCGGGGCTTCCTCGCACTCCCGCTGGCCTTGCAGGTCCACCACCGGGCCCCTGATGTCAGGGGGTGTGGCATATGCTAATGAGTTATGCTAATGAGTTCCCCTAGCTCTTTTTCTACGAAATGACCCCTGCATATATCTACTTGACAGGGAAAGGAAAACTACCATTCTAATCTATTTCATCTACTGGATTTGGGGAAAAGTAAAGGTAAAGGTTCCCTTGCTCGAAAGCCAGTCGAATCCGACTTTAGGGTTGCGGTGCTCATCTCCATTTCAAAGCCAAAGAACCAGCGCTGTCAGAAGACATTTCCGTGGTCATGTGGCCGGCATGACTAAACACCAAGGCGCACAGAACTATGTTACCTTCCCACCGAAGTGGTACCTATTTATCTACTTGCAATTTCTTGCTTTCGAACTGCTAGGTTGGCAGGAGCTGGAACTAGAGATGAGAGCTCACTCCATCATGCGGCACCCGGGTCTTGAACTGCTGAACTACTGATATTCCACAGCCTGTAGTTCAGCGTCTTAACCACTTGAGCCACCGCAGCTCCATATTTGGGGAAAGGAAGAAGTCTAATACATGTCATGATCTGAATGCTTTTTAACCTAATGTTACGGTTATACAAAGATTTGGTTCAATTATTATAGTATACATTTAATAGCTTAACACAAGTACTGCCTTTAGTACTATTGTCTTAGTTCAAGAGTCTTTTCTTCTTGCGTTTCTTCATTTTCTGGAGTTTGGGGGCAGCCTCTCCTTTCTCCGATTCAGATGATTGTGATGACGTGGAGTTTTGGCTTATTGAATCCTGTGAGTAGGCTCCTGCTGCTTCTTCGTCTTCTTCTTCATCATCTTCTTCTTCTTCTTCTTCATCGTCTTCTTCTTCTTCATCGTCTTCATCGTCTTCTTTGTTGTCTTCAAAGCCTTCGGCGTTTCGTCGTCTTCTTCATCTTCGCCTTCATCTTCATCTCCTTAGTCTTCCTCTTCGTCGTCTTCGGTGGCGGCGTCTTCTTCTTCGTCATCTCCGTCGTCTTCGTCTCCGTCATCTTCATTGTCATCATCTTCATCGTCGTTGTCTTCGTTGTCGCCTTCATCTTCTTCTTCGTCTTCTTCGTCATCATCTTCGTCCTCTTCGTCGTCTTTGTCTTCTTCGTCATCGTATTCGTCGTCATTGTATTCATCGTCTTCGTCGTTGTCGTCTTCATCGTCATCTTCTTCGTCATTGTCGCCTTCTTCATCCTCGTCTTTTCTTCTTTGTCTTCTTCATCTTCATCATCTTCGTCGCCTTCTTCTTCATCATTATCTTCTTCTTCTTCTTCATTGTCGTCTTCTTCCTCTCCATCTCTGTCATCTTCATTGTCGTCGCCGCCTTCGTCGTCTTCTTCATTGTCGTCTTTGTCGTCTTCTTCATCGTCATCTTCTTCGTCTTCATCTTCTTTGTCTTCTTCGTTGTCTTCTTCTTCGTCGTCTTTTTCGTTGTTATCTTCGTGTTTGTCTCCGTCGTCTTTGTCTTCGTGTTCGTCTCCATCGTCTCCGTCGTCGTCATCTCCGTCATCATCTTCGTCTTCATCTTCTCCGTCATCTTTGTCTTCGTCGTCATCTTCATCATCGTCTTCTTCATCATCTTCTTCTTCGTCGTCTTCTTCGTCGTTGTCGTCTTCTTCATTGCCTTCCTCTTCTTCTTCGTCTTCTTTTCGTCAGCATCTTCTTCTTCGTCGTCGTCTTCTTCTTCGTTGTCGTCATCTTCTTCGTCGTATTCTTCTTCATCGTCTTCGGCTTTGTCGGCTTTGTCTTCGTCGTCTTCTTCTTCGTCTTCGTCATCCTCATCGTCTTCTTCGTCCTCGTCTTCTTCTGCTTTGTTGTTGTCTTCTTCTGCTTTGTCATCGTCTTCTTCTTCGTTGTCGTCGTCTTCCTCATCTTCTTCTTCGTCTTCTTCGTCCTCGTCTTCATCATCGTCTTCTTCATCATCATCTTCTTCTTCGTCTTCTTCGTCGTTGTCGTCTTCTTCGTTGCCTTCGTCTTCTTCTTCGTCGTCGTCTTCTTCTTCTTCGTTGTTGTCATCTTCTTCGTCGTATTCTTCTTCATTGTCTTCGTCTTTGTCGGCTTTGTCTTCGTCTTCTTCTTCATCGTCATCGTCTTCGTCATCGTCTTCGTCGTCTTCTTCTTCGTCTTCTTCGTCTTCTTCGTCCTCGTCTTCTTCTGCTTTGTTGTCGTCTTCTTCTGCTTTGTCATAGTCTTCTTCTTCGTTGTCGTCGTCTTCAGCATCTTCTTCTTCGTCTTCTTCGTCCTCGTCTTCAAAGCCTTCAATGCTTTTGTCGTCTTCATCATCTTCTTCATCTTCTTCACCTTCATCTTCGTCTTCTTAGTCTTCCTCTTCTAATCATCATCTTCGGCGGCGGTGTCTTCTTCATCAACTTTGTCTCCGTCGTCTTTGTCTCCATCGTCTTCATCGTCATCTTCTTCTTTGACATCTTCGTCATCTTCTTCATCGTCATCTTCACCGTCATCATCTTTGTCTTCTTCGTCTTATTTGTTGTCTTCGTCTTCTTTGTCGTCGTCTTCGTTGTCGTCTTCTTCGTCATCTTCGTCTTCTTCTTCTTCGTTGTTGTCTTCTTCGTCTTCTTCGTCTTCTTCGTCGTCTTCTTTGTCTTCTTCGTCGTCGTCTTCTTTATCGTCATTGTCTTCGTCGTCTTCTTCGTCTTCATCATCTTTGTCTTCATCGACTTCGTCTTCGTCGCCTTCATCATCATCTTTTTCTTCTTTGTCTTCTTCCTCATCATCGTCGTCTTCTTCCTCTCTGTCGTCTTCGTCGTCTTAGTCTTCTTCGTCATCTTCTTCTTCATCTTCTTCGTTGTCATATTCGTCTTCTTCTTCTTCTTCTTCGTTGTCGTCTTCTTCGTCATTATCGTCTTTTTCTTCATCGTCTTCATCGTCTTCATCGTCTTTGTCACCTTCTTCTTCATCATCATCTTCTTCTTCGTCTTCTTCTTCTTTGTCGTCTTCATCTTATTCTTATTCTTTGTCTTCATCGTCTTCTTTGTCTTCTTTGTCGTCGTCGTTATCTTCATCGTCTTCTTCATCATCTTCATCTTCTTCATCTTTTTCTTCGTCTTTGTCGTCTTCGTCGTTGTCTTCTTCGACTTCGTCTTCTTCTTCGTCGTCTTCTTCTTCGTCGTCATCGTCTCTGTCTTCTTCTTCGTCTTCATTGTCTTCGTTGTCTTCTTCTTCGTCATTGTCTTCGTCGTCGTTGTCTCCGTCGTCTCCGTCGACGTCTTTGTCGTTGTCGTCTTCGTTGTTGTGTTCTTCGTCATCTTCGTCATCTTTTTCGTTGTCGTCGTCATCTTCTTCGTCTTCTTCTTCGTCGTCTTCTTCGTCATTGTCGTCTTCGTCTTCTTCTTCATCGTCGTCTTCATCATCTATGTCGTCTACTTTGTCGTCTACTTCATCGTCTTCTTCATCTTCGTCCTCTTCGTCGCCTTCTTTGTAGCCATCTTCTTCTTCTTCTCCGTCTTCTTGTTCATCTTCGTCGTCTTCGTCACCTTCTTCGTCACCTTCTTCTTCGTCACCTTCTTTGGCGCCTTCTTCTTCTTCGTCTTCTTCATCATTGTCTTCTTTGTCGTTTTCGGTGTCGTCTTCGTCGTCTTCATCTTTGTCTTCTTTGTCATCATCTTCTTCATCTTCATCGTCTTCGTCTTCATCACCTTCTTCAGCACCTTCTTCTTCTTTGTCATCTTCGTCATCGTCGTCTTCATCGTTTTTTTCATCGTCATCTTCTTCTTCGTCGTCGTTGTCATCTTTGTCTTCTTCTTCATCGTCGTCTTCGTCGTCTTCGTTTTCTTCATTGTCGTCTTCATCTATGTCATCTTCGTTGTCGTCGTCATCATCTTCTTCATCTTCGTCGTCTTCATCTTCATCGCCTTCTTCGTCGCCTTCTTCTTCTTCGTCGTCTTTGTCACCTTCTTCGTCTTCATCGCCTTCTTCTTCTTCTTCTTCTTCGTCGTCATCTCCTTCGACGTCTTCTTTGTCATTTTCGGTGTCTTCTTCATCTTCTTCATCTTCATCATCTTTGTCGTCATCTTCGGCATCGTCTTCTTCATCTTCGTCGTTTTCGTTGCCTTCTTCTTCGTCGTCTTCATCGCCTTCTTCTTCTTTGTCGTCTTCATCTTCATCTTCTTCGTCTTTGTCGTCATCGTCTTCTTTTCATCGTCGTCTTCTTCTTCATCGTCGTCTTCTTCTTTTTCTTCGTCGTCTTCTTCGTCATCGGCTTCGTCGGCTTCGTCGTCGTCATCTTCTTCTACTTCTTCATCTTCTTTGTCATCGTCTTCATCGTCTTCTTCTTCATCGTCTTCATCGTTGGAGTCTTTGACTTCGTCATCATCTTCTTCGTCTTCGTCATCTTCTTTTTCTTTTTCATCGTCATCTTAGTCGTCATCTTCGCCATCGTCTTTGTTGTCTTCTTCTTCGTCTTTGTCGTCTTCTTCGTCGCCTTCGTCTTCTTTGTCGTCGTCTTCGAAGCCTTTGAGGCTTTCATCGTATTCTTCTTCGACTTCTTCATCTTCTTCGCCTTCATCTTCATCTTCTTAGTCTTCATCTTCATCTCCTTAGTCTTCATCTTCTTCTTTGTCATCGTCGTCTTCGGCGGCGGCGTCTTCTTCTTCGTCATCTTCATCTCCTTCATCGTCATCTTATAAAAAATTGTCCTCAAGATATTATTGAGAAGGTACAAGAAGAGACAGATATACAAGTCGTAGATAAGATAAAATATCAAGGCATATTTATGACAAATAAGAACAGTATGCTAAAAGAAAATAACTATCAAAAACTGCTAGAAGAAGTTAAGAAACATCTCCATAGATGGAAAGACATGTAACTATCTCTTATGGGTAGAATTGCAGCGATTAAGATGAATGTCCTGCCACGTTTTCTATTTTAAAGGAAATAAGCTCACTTGGAAAAAAACCCTCACAGAAAAAAGCCCATTCACATAAAAGCCCACACAGATAGAAGCCCACATGGAAAAATACAATGTAAAGCGCCATAGATATGTATAATGGTGGATAGCCATTCATCTCTACATATGAAAATGAACAAGTATTACCTATATTTTATATTGTTGTTTTAGGATTAAAACATTCTCATGCAACAATTTGTGTTGTGATTTTATCAATTATAATCAAATAATAACTTTGCTATGTTATTAGTAAATTACTTCATTACTATACAAAAGTGATCTGTATGAAGAGAGCTTTAATGCTCTTCAGTGTAAAAGCTTGAAAGGGAATATGCAGGAAATAAAAGTGACCATTTTGTTATCAACGAACCTTATTAAGAAGGAAAAACAATAACAACAGAAATTAAACTCTATATAGAAATATTTAAAAATAAAATTAAATACTTTAATATTTACTAATTTGCCATTTGTTAAACTTTGTAATGCTGGTATGATGTAATTTCTAAAGACAGAAAGATGTTAAATTAAATTTGCCTAGTATACACAGCTTTTGAACAACGATGTGGTTTAAAATACTTCAAATAATATTTTTTACTTATTTTGTTCATAAAAATTAAAATCATAAAATTAAAATAAATTGACTTTCTAGCTCTATTTCCCTTTACTTGTATTTTAACAGTGTGGTACACCCTGTGACCATGACAAAAGACTACCTGACCCTAATATTAAAAGCAACAATTATTTAAAACTACATTTAATACCAACAACAATAAGAATAATTTAATAACAATGACGACTCACATATAATTCTTCATTTCAAATTAGCCAATTTCCTTAACTAATTAAGTTTGTTTTACTTGCTCATATAGCTGCACAGAAGTGGCAACCATGTCATGTTCTTATTCTTGTCATGTTCTTGTTCTTATTCACCTCTAGATGACCTGTCTGTGCATTAGCCAGAGTTAGTTTGTGGCAAGACAGGTCCCACTGCAGTCCATCAAATAGAGACCACACACTGGGATGACTGCAGTGGAATAGGGAATTAAGAGCACTACATGACACTGTTGTCACTTCTGTTATTATTTGTTATTTAATATTATGGTTTTGTTATCTTATGGCTCTAGAAAGGGGCTCTGGGCGGGTGCCCTGGCCTTGGGCACTCAGGGTCAATTTGCTGTGGTGACTTCAGCAGCATATAATGACACAGAGTCCACCGTTTTCTCCAGGGGAACTGATCTCTGCCATCTGAAGAGCAGCTGTAATTCTGAGTGATCTCCAGCCCTCACCTGGAGATTTAAAAACAAGCTGGACTTTGGTGTGAATACAATGGGAAAAATAAAGTAAGCACACCGAAGAAAACCAATGTTCTATGACTTTAACACACTTGGTTGTACTTTTAATAGTATTTATAATGCAAATTTCTTATGTTACACAACAATCATCCTTATGTAAAGTACATGCCATAAACATAGGCAAAGCCAGTAGATAATGATGTGAGTACAATACAAAATCTTGATGCAAATAGTCTTGACACTATGTTCCTGGAATGTCGTCTCTTCAAGGTGTCTTGATAGAGCTATGAAGTGGAAAAGCAGACTTGAAAGTCTTCATTTTTCAAGCTCCTAAACAGTATTTATCACTCCTTCATTTAAAAATGTGTGAATCCAAGGAGTACAAGAGATAAAGAGAACACGCTTTCCTAGGATTAACAAGCAGTTTCAGATATCTTTATCAACTCTCTCTCTCTGTTGGTGTTCATCACTAATCTCTTGATGGAGCACTGGAGGAATGACAATAATGTGGATCAATGCAACATCTCTCTAATGTATTCCCAAAGCTTCTGAAGTGCTAACTGCTACACCATACTAGCTGTGGTACTGCCTGGTATCACAACTGAACTCCAGAAAACAGATCTCTCTCTCCCCCTGGAGAAAATAACTGCTTTAGAGGGTAGACTCTATGGCATTCTGTTCAGCTAAGGCCTCTTCCCTCCCCAAACCCTGGCTTCCATAGACTTCAGCACAAAATCTCCAGGAATTTCCCAACCTGGTCAGGACTAGCCCGAATGAATTCCCCACAAAGGCCTGGAAAGGGCTTCATTCCTTTGTCTTTTTACTGACAGAACAAAGCTTGGTTGCTTAGCAATAGCCACTGAGGGGAAAGTTAGTCCCACAGGAGCCAAGCAGGAGAAGTGTCTTTGTCAGGAAAGACAGCCATTTTAGCAGTTATTCTGATAGGTGACAGTGACAGTGGGTGGGGAAAAGGAGCAGACCCAGCCCCCAGCCAATGTCATGCATTTACTCTTGAGTGGCGGTTGATGGGCCAATGGCTGATGGAGCGCACAGCACAGCCAATGGGAGAGCTGGAAATGGCCAACATGTTAGGAGAATTATATATATAATTATATATAAAATCACAACACAAATTGTTGCATGTGAATATAGGTAATACCTGTTCATTCTCATAAATTGAGATAAATGGTTATCCACCATTATAAATATCTATGGCGTTTTCCTGGTATGTTTCCATGCGGGCTTCTTTCCATGTGGGCTTTTTTCTGTGCGGGCTTTTATGTGAATGGTCTTTTTTCTGTGAGGGCTTTTGTCCAAGTGAGCTTATTTCCATGTGGGCATTTTTCCATGTGGCTTCTTTCCTGTGAGCATTTATGACTGTGGGGTTTTTCCTGTAAGCTTTTTTCTGGTCACCATGGCAAACCACCTCTGAACTTCTCTTGTCTGGAAACCCTATGGGGTCACCATAAATTGCCTGCAACTTGACTGGGGAGGGGAGAAAGAGAGTGGATGTAGAGGGGGAGTTTGGGTGTAGAGGGGGAGTTTGGGCCAGCCCCAGCTTTTTTTGCACACTAGGCGAGGATACCTTCTGGCGCCCCCCCCCCCGGCCCACCAATTTTCAAACATAAGTGCATTTTAGTCCAGGAGGATGCAAAGGATAAATGGAAACAAGTCTGAAGAAGTGAGCAGTGAGCATAAAAGCACGTCCCTACAACATTTTTGTTAGTCCTTAAAGGTGCTACTGGACTCCTACTGTTTCTACTGCTATTACAAACCACAACATTCAAAAACCAGTGAGGGAACATTTTAACCTTCCAGGAAAATCAGTTGCTGACCTAAGAGTAGCAGTTCTCTTACAAAGGAATTTCAATTGCGACAGAATTGTATTTTAAGCCCCCCCCCCTCATTTTGACCCACCTTCAAATGAGAACTGGACTTTTTGGTTACTTTTTAAAAAATCATGAATTGTTTGCAGCTCTTCATACATGAATTGTAGCTCTTCCCCTTCCCCTATCCCTTCCTCCAGCCGTCTCTCCAGACTGCCTGAAAAACTGCTGGGTGTAGCAGAGAGGCCCTTCCCACTCACTTTCTCCCGCGGCGTGTGGGTGTGGTTTTCCCCCCCCCCCCCCCGCTTGTTTCCACTGCAAAGGAAGCCATGTAGACTACATTGCCCAGCATGCCCTTGTGGCTCCTTACTAAGCAGACGGGACTGACTGAGCTGGAGCAGCTAGGACTGGATCGCTCCTTCCCTCCCCTCTTTTACAGCCAGTTGAAATTTTTACCAACCTTTCCAAACTAGCTAGTAGGGAGAGTGTGAGAGAAGCCTTGCCTTGCACGTCCATGAATGGCTGATAACATTCACAAAACACTTCACTTTTCTGTTCAGTTCTAGTATGAGGAGAAATTGGCCCATCACAAGTTGATCATCATGTTTTATGATATTTTCTACGTTTACTTCATATTTTGTTAAAAAAAATTATTAAGCAGGTTCCTACAGCTCTGGAAGAACAGGAGACCCAAGTTCTTTAGTTTCCATTGCTGAGATGCTGGAATAACCCTCTGTGACTGCTGTACTCCATGATGGTGTTCGTGTTAGAAAAAGGGAGCAGATGGGTGTGTCTTCAGCCTGAGAATCTATTTACTTGAGAATGTGGTCCCTTTTTATACAACCAATTATCTATAAAATGACAAAAGAAGGCCAATAGCTCAGTTGTACAGTCCCTGGCCTGACTACACGGGATCCCAGTTTATTTCCTGAAAATCTTAGGTAGCAGTATTTTGAAAGATCCTTATTTGAGAATTAAAGAACTTGCATTCAATATAGGTAGCAGACTGACTCACCATAGTACTATGTAGCTGTATATTTCCATACCATTTATGTGTTTGTTTATATAACAGCCTAATTTAAGGTATTTGCCTTTTCTTCTGAAGGAATGAGTAGTTTTCATTGTTGAATATAACACCAAGATCTATATTATGATTTTTATTGTCAAAGGGTAATCTCACCATGGAGTTATATTGTTTTAATTGTAAGCCTCCTTGAGCAGGTATTTGAAGGAGTGATGTAGAAATATTCAAAATAAATAAATAAGCATCCTCATAATTATGCAAGCTTGGAATTCTTTTTATGCCAATGAATCTTTATTTATTGTATTCACTAGATATTCCCATATTATAAAATGTACGCCATTGAAGCTTTAGAATAAAATTATAAAAATGTTTGTGAACTCACTAATCTGTTTATGGGCAAATAAATAGACAAATTCAAATTTCTGTTTGCTTAGGATATCTACTAGACAGGATGATTTGAAATCTGTGGATCTCCAGCAATGTTTAAGAGAAGTCCTGTCCTCCAGACACTTGTGATATGTCACTTTACCTACTGAGCATTGAAAATTTAAACATTGCCTGTGGGTCCCCCATATTTAGAAATGCTCCAGCCTGCACA